TTAAATGGAGTAAGCCTGTCCTAAAAGGATGACTACTATATGATTTTACTTTATATTAGATGGTTACATTCATAGAGACAGAAAATAGAATCATGGTTGTCAGGAGATGGGGAAAAAGAAGAACGGAGAGTTATTTAATGGAGACAAACTTTTACTATCTATTTTTATTTTTATTTAGTGTCTGTGTGTCTGTGTGAGTATGCTACATATGTAGATTCAGGGGAAACCAGAAGAGGGTGTTGGATGCCCTGAACATGGAGTTACAGATGGTTGTTAAAGCACCTAATGTGGGTGCCAGGAGCTAAACTCTGGAAGAACGGTAAGAACTCGTAGCTTCTGAGGCATCGATGTCTCCAGCCCCACAGAAACAAACTTATTTGGACAAGTGAAGAAAGTTCTCTGACGGATGTGACAAGGACTGTACACGTGTGGGTGTTCTCACTGCTGCTGAACTATATACACTTTTAAATGGCTAAGATGATCACTTTTTCCTGTTATAAAGACTTCTCATTTATTCTTCCTGGCACCACTTATTTCCAGGGCTCACATTTCCATCACTGCTCCTCTTCATTCAGTAGTTAATGTGCAGTCTCCCTCGTGGGCCCAGGAGGGGTGGGAGCTTGGCTCTGGGCTGGGAGGGCATTGGCTTTTCACAGGAGCCCTTCTGAAGGCTGGCCCTGTGACAGAGGCATGGGTGGGTGAGTGTGAGAGCAGCCACTGGGTTTCCCCTAGTCATCTTCCCTGCTAGGTGGGTTATTACTTTTTTTTCACACTGTCCTAGACGCTGAGGGTGGGACTGTGCAGCTCAGGAGGGCAGGACAGGACAAGCAGCAGACCACCAAGGGAGGGCCACAGGGATGGCTCCTGGGATAAGACACAACCCTGTCTTTCGATGTCCTGGTGAGTAGTTTGCTCTTCTGACTTGACACCAGCTCTTCTCAGTCCCAGGAGCCAGAGGCACCTCTTGAGGTTCTTGGAACCAATGGGCTTTGTGCTGCAAGACCTCTCAGTACCAGGGAGCTGCTCCCTTACAAAGCCCTCACCTTGGCCAAGCTCAGCTGCTTGCCTAGTTACCAGGAGACAGTGCTTTGGGATCTGTGATTGGTGGAGGTGGGGGCATTTACAACTAAGGTGCTTATACTTATTGAGGGGTATGGATGCGCCTCTACTTGGCCACCCAGGGCTAAGGTACAGGGGCCAGGGCCAGGCCAGATCCAAC